TACCGTTTTCTATAACTTATTCATTCAAGTTAGTAGAATGATAATGTGGTATATTAACAAGGCTTGTTATCGTCTTAGATTGAATCATATTGTGGCCTTCATTTAACAGTATTTTATATTTTCAAGTGTAGTATCCGATACCTTTTAGCTAACATGAGTGCTGCTGAGGTGGGTGACTTCATGAGTTCACATTAACTGTGTGCGAGGTTGTGCAAGGTTGCTGCTTTGCTCCTGAAGCCTCAGAAGCCCTCATATTGCAGATGACTGTGGGTGCTTTTCCATTCAGTCCAGCCACATGTTCTTCAGTGAAGTCTCAGTGCTTTATCTTACTGTCAGTGAGAGGTTCCTCTGTTGCATTTTCTTTTTTAGCTTTTTGAAATTGTGAAGAATAAACTTGATTGCATTTTAAGCCTTCGGCTTCCTTTTAGTAAGTGAAGTGTATTTAGATTTTCATAAAGACATGTTTATTCCAAGAGGATTGTCAGATGTCTAGTTCTGTGGAAATCAAAGGCACAGTTAATCAAATACTGTTCTAGGATTTGATAAAAACTTGTACTTGAGTAACAAAATAGTTTCATTCCCATCCTGAATTTCTGTGAATTGATTTTAACTCTTCACAAGTTAATCCGTTTCCTTCAGGGAGTTCAGAGTTGTTGATTGATAGCTGCTACCTTTACAGAATCTTCATAAAGTAGGGAATTTTCATTACTTAGGGGTAAAGAGGTTTTCCCACGTTGTTCTGTGTGGACCTATCCTAGATCATGCAGTGTGACAAGGAGAAACAGTAGCCAGATCTCCCTGTCTCAAAATCTTAACTTTAATTTATACTTCAGACGGGCAGGGTATATGTAATTTTTTAAAAAGATTTTGTTTATTTATTTGACAGAGAGAGAGAGACTCAAGAGATAACACAAGCAGGGGGAGTGGGAGAGGGAGGAGTAGGCTTTCTGGTGAGCAGGGAGCCCAATGGGGGACTCGATCCCAGGACCCTGGAATCATGACCTGAGCCAAAGGCAGATGCTTAATGACTGAGCCATCCAGGCACCTGCACTTTTTTTTTTCTTTTTTTAAAATAAGCTCTAAGCCCAATGTGGGGCTTGAGCTCTCTGAGGTGGAGTCACATGCTCCACCAGCTGAGCCAGGCAGGTGCCCCAAGGTGTTTGGATTTTTAAAAGTGATTTGTATTTAGTTGGATGTAGTCTCATAGTATACTATATATAGTATAGTATAGTAGTGTAGTGTAGTATAGTATAATAGTGATACTACTGGGCCAAATAAATGGTTTCTTTAGTACCACTCATCTTGACCCAGCAAAAGGTCACTGGGTATGGCTCCGGAATCAGACCAATGTATACCTTAAAAGGTCGAAACAAGGAACCAGAGAGTATGTTCATTCTGAGCAGTAAAGTATCTTGGCAGCATCCAGTGACCTATCAGGGTAGGGTCTGCTATTCTCACATGTACTGATGATGTAATTTCTGGTATAAAATAATGCAAAGTCAGCGCAGGGGTGGTGTGAGTAGAAATTTCAATAAACCTTGGGCTCATTTGCATATCTAGTTCTAGCAAGACAAGATGGCTAGACATGGTCTCTGTCCTCAAAAGAGCTCAGATTCCAGTAAATTGGCTTCAGTTTGTGATTTCTTCCAAAAACCTGGGGAAACTAAGAAGGTCTAACAAAAATGTGAAGGATGAGGAAGATTTCTGTTAAAGACTTCATGATAGGGTACCTGGCTGGCTCAGTTGGTGGAGCGTGTGACTCTTGATCTCAGGGTTGTGGGTTTGAGCCCCATGTTGGGTGTAGCGATTACTTTAAAAAATAAAAAAGATAAAAAGACTTCAGGAAAACTAGGGTGCCTGGCTGGCTTAGTCTGTACAGGGTATGACTCTTGATCTCATGATTGTAAGTTTGAGCCCCACATTGGGTGTAAAAATTACTTAAGAAATAAGATCTTTATTCTTTTCTTTTTTAAGATTTTATTTATTTATTTATTTATGTATCAGAGAGAGAGAGAGAGAAAGCGGGAGCACGCGCGAATGAGAAAGAGCACGTACGTGCACAAGCAGGGGGACTGGCAGGCAGAGCAGGCAGAGGGAGAAGCCAGCTTTCCACCGAACAAGGAGCTTGATGTGAAACTCGATCCCCGGACCCTGGGATCATGACCCAAGCCAAAGGCAGCCACCCATCCGACTGAGCTACCCAGGCGTCCCAAGAAATAAGGTGTTAAAAAAAAAAAAAAAGGCTTCATGAAAACCACATTCAGTGAGTTAACAACAGTTATGTGCGAATTGTTTTGTAGGGCTTCTTTTGGCATGAAAGGAACAAAAACTGTTTCAGAAGGCCTCCATATCCTGTGGGAATATGAGTGATGATTTCATTACCTAATCATGGAAGTGAAAATGAAGGACTGTGCAAATTGGTACTGGGCATGTAATTACAGAGGAATCGCATCTGAGCCCATTCCTGTGTATTCTCATTGGCATCTGTGCTCAGGGCCAAGTTTGGAAACATGCCCTCAGGAGCATGGGGTTTGGTGCTTTTGTGGACAGGGAAATGGTTGAATGGGAGAATTACTCAAAACTGGTCGTTACAAAAGTCTGAGTCCCTTCATGTTTGCTTGCTAATTGTACTTTGAGAAATTTGGAAAGGGAGTAAGAAGTTGTTTTTATTGGGCCAAACATTTATTTTTCTTTTTCTTAAAGATTTTATTTATTTATTTGTCAGAGAGAGAGAGAGTGCACAAGCAGGCATAGTGGCAGGCAGAGGCAAAGAGAGAGAAGCAGGCTCCCGGCTGAGCAAGGAGCCCGATGTAGGACTCGATCCCAGGACCCCGGGATCATGACCTGAGCCGAAGGCAGTGGCTTAACTGACTGAACCACGCAGGCATCCCCCAACATTTATTTTTCTTGAGAAAAAAATAGTATGCTGTAAATAAGCTCTTACAGCCTAAACTCATCAAGTTTGTTCTGAAGACGACCCTAGCCTCACCATCTGCCAAACTGTTGAGTGAAGGAACGACTGTACTCGAGATGCGATGTGCAATTCAGATGTGAAAGATGCAGCCAAATTCAAGGACTCTGTTTCTTTGGATTCTTTTCCCTAGTAAATTTCAGAGCTGAGTGGGGGTTAAAAATAGGAGAAAGTCAGTACATTAGGGAAGATAGCCAGTGGGAAGTGAGAAATGATAACTTGCAGGGGAAAGAATAAGAGGGAATATGGGAAGTAATTTTTTTTTCCCAGTAGTAAATTAGCCTTTTTTCTTTTTTGCCAGAAAAAAAATTTAATTTTTGTTTTATATTTTATATGACTACTCTCTCTCTTTTTTTTTTTTTTTTTAAGATTTTATTTGTTTATTTGACAGAGATCACAAGTAGGCAGAGAGGCAGGCAGAGAGAGAGGGGGAAGCAGGCTCCCTGCTGAGCAGAGAGCCCAATGTGGCGCTCTATCCCAGGACTCTGGGATCACGACCTGAGACGAAGGCAGAGGCTTTAACCCACTGAGCCACCCAGGTGCCCCTATATGACAACTCTTTGGGGTAGGAGTTAGGGCTGGAAATGGAAAGGCCTTCCTCTAGTGAGTTAAGCCTGTGGAAAAACAGCTCACCCAAGGTGGGGGTAACTAACTAGGATCATTTAATACAATTACAATAAACCTATAGTAAACAGTGCTCTACTTTTGGGGAATGGAGGGGATTGCCACCACCTTCCCTCTGCCATTGTCCCTCTTCCCCCAGCTAGGAGAACTTAGGCTACCCCCCTACTTCGATTAGCTACCAGTCGTTCACCATCTCATTAAGATTCCAGCAGCCACTTTGCTAGGACACAGTGTAGTATCGTGAGCCAATTTGATAGATGAGTTTCTTGGAAGCAACTTTATGAGCTGATTTATGTTTTCATTTTCCTTAATGTGATCATTCTTACAGTGTTTATTTATCTTTTAAAGATTTTATTTATTTGACAGAGAGATCACAAGTAGGCAGAGAGGCAGGCAGAGAGAGAGAGAGAGGAGGAAGCAGGCTCCCTGCCGAGCAGAGAGCCTGATGCGGGACTCAATCCTAGGACCCTGAGATCATGATCTGAGCTGAAGGCAGAGGCTGAACCCACTGGGCCACCCAGGTGCCCGAAAAACTTTTTTTTTAAAAGATTTTATCTATGTATTTGACAAAGAGAGAGATCACAAGTAGCCAGAGGCAGGCGGGGGTGGGGGGTGGGAGCAGGCTCCCCTGCTGAGCAGAGAGCCCCATGTGGGGCTCGATCCCAGGACCCTGAGATCATGACCCAAGCCGAAGGCAGAGGCTTAACCCACTGAGCCATCCAGGTGCCCCTAGAAAAACTTTTCTTAATCCACGTCCTCAGAATGCTCTTATTACTCTTTATAGGACCCACGGTTTGTTTTTCCTTTGAAGTTTGAGGTCTTGAATCATGCCTAGGGGGAGTCTAGTTGCTATACCCTTTGCTGTCTGCCAGTCAGAAACTTGCCTTAGAAGAGCTGTTAGAGGGACACCTGGGTGGCTCAGTGGGTTAAGCCACTGCTTTCGGTTCAGGTCATGATCTCAGGGTCCTGGGATCAAGCCCCACATCGGGCTCTCTGCTCGGCAGGGAGCCTGCTTCCCCCCTACCCCGCCTGCCTCTCTGCCTACTTGTGGTCTCTCTTTGTCAAGTGAATGAATAAAATCTTTTAAAAAAAAAAATAAAGAGCTGTTAGAGAACAGTCTTCTAGCTTTATGGTTGTACTAGAACTTGACTGTCATTGTGGTTTACAGTGGAGAGAAACAATACAGTCAGAAGCCTGTAAGGATTTGTTAGATATTTGGGATGGGCTTGGTATATGAGCTCTACCTGTCAAATGAGGACGGCTCACAGCTAGTGTGGGAAAGGGCTGAGGAACAAATTTCACATTGAGGGTCTGAAAGACATCATGTGCGGCTTGAATGTGAGTGCCTGAGTTGTTTCAGAGCTTCTGACAGTGTATACTGATGTTTGTGCATTTCCTACCATAGCTGTTTGAGTGGAATGTCATGGCCAGCTCCTCTGACAGTGAAGATGACAGTTTCATGGCTGTGGACCAAGAAGAAGCTGTGCTGGAAGGGACAATGGAGCAGGATGAGGAGCCCCACCCAGCACTGGAGGCTGAGGAGACAAGACATAACAGGTCCATGTCTGAACTGCCAGAAGAGGTTTTGGAGTATATCCTGTCCTTCCTTTCACCATACCAGGAGCACAAAACTGCAGCCCTTGTCTGCAAACAGTGGTATCGGCTTATCAAAGGTACTGTGGACAGTGGAAAGGCTTATTTATTTATTTAAAATCTGTTCTGATGATTTATTTTTGAACTCCCAATTTCATTTTCCCTATTCTCCCTTAAGTGTATCATGGTTCTAAAATTTAGTGTGAGACAGTTAACTCTGTACATTTTCCTTTTCTCTTAATTTTGGCTGGTGTTATGAACAGCTTGAATTTTGTGATATTTAATCCCACTTGCAGTTTTAAAACAAAGATTCTTTTTCTGCATATTCTTAGGGTTAATCTGGTAAATTGTATTGTTCTTGAATTGGCGAAGTAGGGATGGACATGGGGTAACAGTATAATGAACGTTAATGTACCTCGTACTGTTGTTGGGCAGTGTAGTGGCTACTGTCCTGTCCTCACAGCAGACTCTGAATTAGATGAAGAAATGGAGTGTGAGGCATAGTTAAGTATGTTAGCCAAGGTCATACAGGTAGTAAATGGAGGATCAAACACTCAACATTCAGGTAGTCTGGGTTTAGAGTCCATGTTCTTTATGAGGATATCATTGTGTTTCTTAAAGTAGCTAACTGTGGCAAATGTGGAGTTGTACAAGCATTTACTGTTTAATTTTATCTCAAGTAATATGGGGCCTAGGCACGTCTTTTACATTTAAAAATTAGTTTCTCCTGTTTTTCCATCATTTCCTAATCAAGATTTCAACTTTGGCTAAACGTTGTAGTTACTAGGTGTACTATATTTTGAATTAATAGATAGCAGGTAATTGGCTTCATTGGGTGGTTTTGTTTTTGTGGTTTTTTTTTTTTTTTTTTTTAAGATTTATTTATTTCAGAGAGAGAGAGAGAGAGAGGGGAGAGGAGAGGGCACAAGCAAGGGGAGTGGCAGGGAGAGGGAGATGCAGTCTGAGCATCCCGGGAGCCCAATGTGGGGACTTGGTCCCAGGACCCTGGGATCATGACCTGAGCCAAAGGCAGACGCTTAACCAACTGAGCCACCCAGGCACCCCAGGTTTTTTTGTTTTTGTTTTTATTTTTTTAAGATTCATTTATTTATTTGGGAGAGGGGAGTGAAGGGGCAGAGAGAGTCCTAAGCAGACTCCATGCCGAATGTGAGCCTGGGAGCCCGATTTGGGGCTCCATCCCAGAACCCTGGGATCATGACCTGCCCTGAAGGCAAGCACTTAACCCACTCATCCAAGGCTTGGTCCCATGACGCCAAGATCATGACTTGAGCTGAAACCAAGAGTTGGACACTCAACTGACTGTGCCACCCAGGTGCCCCTTGACTTCATTACATTTTAAGTGGAAAAGGCCTGTTTGTAAAATTAAGATATCGGGCCAGTTAAATAATCTTTGATCAAAGCAAGGCTTGTATCAATTTGTTCTTTCCTGGTGGGAACAGGCAGTCAGAGTTACGACAGAAAAACCTTTACATCAAACTGAGTTTTAAAATCTTTTCTTTTTAAAATAAAAAGAACCACCCTTAAAATCTCAGGGTGGTTCTTAGGAGGCATGGGGTCGTTGTCAGTTGCTCAGCATCCAGCCTGAGACCGAGGACCAGCTGTGCTGTAACTGCTTGCTGGGCCCTGTGCTCATTTGCTCACAACTGGTAATCCTGGTGTGCACAGCCTGCTTCTACTTGTAGACTTAATGGACTCCCCAAGAAACTGGGGGCCTAACCTGTGGAAGTAGATGGTTGCATCTCTAAAATAGAAGTGCAAGAATCACAGACGAGGGACTGTGATCTAATGAAATACATGAATTTATTCTTAGGGGTTTTTTGTGGGGGTTTTTTGCATTCCAATTATTTTGATATATTTTTTTTAAGGGAGAGAAGCCCTAACCTAGTACTCACAATCTTAAATCTTCAGGGGGAAGGAAGACAGTTTCCTCCTGTCCTGTTCTGTTACTAGGTATCTTTCATTCCTTGCTGCCTTACCTCATTTCAGCATTTATAAATCTGTGTTACTTTCTTCATCAATGTATAGTTGACAGTGCTGTCACACATTGAGTGGCTGTGTCTTTCTAATACTTAATTCTTTTTTAAAATTTTTAAAAATTTTATTTTATTTTTAAAAGATTTTATTTATTTATTTATTTGACAGACAGAGATCACAAGTAGGCAGAGAGGCAGGCAGAGAGAGAGGAGGAAGCAGGCTCCCCGCTGAGCAGAGAGCCCGATGTAGGGCTCGATCCCAGGACCCTGAGACCATGACCTGAGCCGAAGGCAGAGGCTTAACCCACTGAACCACCCAGATGCCCCTAAATCTTTTTTTTTTTTTTTTAAGATTTTATTTCTGTATTTGGGAGAGGGAGCATGAGCTGGGAGTGGGCAAGGAGCCTGACCAAAGACAGACATTTAACCAACTGAGCCACCCAGGCATCCCTTAATATTTAATTCTTTTTTTTTTTTTTTTTAAGATTTTATTTATTTATTTGACAGAGATCACAAGTAGGCAGAAAGGCAGGCAGAGAGAGAGAAGGGGGAAGCAGGCTCCCTGCCAAGCAGAGAGCCCGACGCGGGACTCGATCCCAGGACCCTGAGATCATGACCTGAGCTGAAGGCAGCGGCTTAACCCACTGAGCCACCCAGGCACCCTAATATTTAATTCTTAATTGTGAGTTCAGCCAAGGGGTAGTAATCATCATTGGAAAACATGTATAAGTACTCTGATCCTGCTTAAGGATCCACTAAGGTAACATGAATTAAAAAATGTGTAACATAATTTGTTATACTCTTCATTCAGAATGTTGCTCTTTGAAATAAGATAATCATTTCATGTGTTAAAAAGATAGATTGTTGGGGCGCCGGGGTGGCTTAGTGGGTTAAAGCTTCTGCCTTCGGCTCAGGTCATGATCCCAGGGTCCTGGGATCGAGCCCTGAATCAGGCTCTCTGCTCAGCAGGGAGCCTGCTTCCCACCTCCCCCGCACCCCGCCTGCCTCTCTGTCCACTTGTGATCTCTGTCAAATAAATAAATAAAATCTTTTTTTTTTAAAAAAAAAAGATTGTTCCAGAAACATGAAGCTCTCACTTTAAAAAAAAGGAAAATGGACTGGATATTTTAGAGTGGTTTTAGGTTTACAGCAAAATTGAATTGAAATTTTAGGATTTCCCATATATCCCCCTATCTTCCCAAAATCCACAGCCTCCCCTATCAACATCCCCTACCAGAGTGGTACATTTTTTACAGTTGATGAACCTCATGGACCACTCATTGCCCACAGTCCACAGTTTACATTAGGGTGCACATTCTTTGGGTTTGAACAACTGTATAATGACATGTATCCACCATTATAATAAAAGCTCTCAGTTTTAAAGATAGCTTTCTGTAGTTGTAAATTCATTTCATAATTCCCTATAAGCTAATTATTTTCTCTTTGTTTAAGTTGGAATATGCTTGGTTACCATGGTATAACCATAGGCATTAGTGAATACCTGTTATTTATATTCCAGACACTGTTTTACCAGCTCTTTCTCACAAAACTAAACTATTCCCCCACCCCCTTTGCTTTGGAGTAAATAATACAGTTATTTTATTTTTACTTATTTATTTTTAAGATTTTATTTATTCGACAGACAGAGATCACAAATAGGCAGAGAGGCAGGCGGTGGGGGTGGCCACCGAGCAGAGATTCCAGTGTGGGGCTTGATCCCAGGACCCTGAGATCCTGACCTGAGCCGAAGGCGGAGACTTAGCCCATTGAGCCACCCAGGCACCCCTATTTATTTATTTTTAAAAGTAAACTCTGTGCCCATTGTGAGGCTCAAACTCACAACCCTGAGATCAAGAGTCATATGTTCTACTGACTGAGCCACTACCAATTATTTTAATGTGTTGCCTCATCATATGACATAAAGGGGAGCAGAGTTACAGTGCAGGCTAATTTTGTAACCTTGAGCTTAGTAACACTTAACCTCCCTGAACCTTGGTAAAGTAAAAGGAATGGATTTTCTTGTTTTGAAATTCTGTTTTCCTTCTTTGAATGAAAAATCAGAGAAATTTGGAGTTCCTCAAAAAAACTTAGGTCTTTTTAAGTATTTTATTTATTTATTTATTTATCAGAGAGAGAGAGAAAGAGAGAGAGTGAGCACAAGCAGGCAGAGTGACAGACAGAAGCGGAGGGAGAAGCAGGCTCCCTGTCGAGCAAGGAGCCCACTGCAGGACTGGGTCCCATGATCCAGGGATCATGACCTGAGCCAAAAGCAGCCTCTTAACCAACTGAGCCACCCAGGCATTCCGGAATCTTAAGTCTTATAAAAGTGATAAGATAGTTAATAGATGCAGTTTTAATAATTTGATTGAAAAGTGAAGTATCCAAGCTGAGGCCTTTGTTATTTTTGTCTTTAGGTGTAGCCCACCAGTGTTACCATGGTTTCATAAAGGCTGTCCAGGAAGGACACATTCAGTGGGAGAGTCGGACATACCCTTACCCTGGAACCCCGATCACTCAGCGGTTCTCACACAGTAAGTATTCACCGTGAGAGCAGAGGCCACCCTGCCTTTAGTCATATTTCTAAAAATTACATCAGAGGCATGTATTTTGTTTGACTTTTTAATGAAATGAATTCAAAATGAGGATTTATATTAATTTTATAATTTCAGTCAGGGAAGAGTGTGAGCCTAGATACAGCATAAACACTCTGGTATAACTTTATATTTGGATTTTTCTAGTATCTGCTCCAAAGAGGTCAAGGTATTATCTTAGACTTGAACATCTGACGTCAACTCAGGGGAAAGGAACAAAGGAAAGGAGTGCACATGGGTATTTCTGAGATCCTACTTTGGGAGTAGCCAGGATTTAGCACTTAGTCTTAACAATAATTATTTTAACATAGTATATGTTTAGCAAACACTGAATTTGACTGGGGTAACACAAAAATTTTTGAACACAAAGGGTATTAACTATAAAATACAAATTTAAATAGTAAAATTATAAATCTTCTTAGTGTCAGGTGTTCAGTGTAGTTATTCCACAGTTCTGTAAATCACTCAGTGCTCATCATGATCAGTGTATATTTTTTGACCTCTTCAGCAGAAGGAGAGTTTACTGGTTATTCATGTTGCATAAAAGTTACCACAAAACTTAGCAGCTTAAAACGTTTCTTTTCTTTTCTTTTTTTTTTTTTTTAAGATTTTATTTATTTATCTGACAGTCGGAGATCTCAGGTAGGCAGAGAGGCAGGCAGAGAGAGAGGAAGGGAAGGAGGCTCCTGCCAAGCAGAGAGCCCGATGTGGGGCTCGATCCCAGGACCCTAGGATTATGACCTGAGCCGAAGGCAGAGGCTTTAACCCACAGAGCCACCCAGGCGCCCCACAACGTTTATCTTACAGAGTTCCTGAGGGTCGGGAATATGGGATTGCTTTAGCTGGGAGCTCCTGGCTCAGGGTCACTGATGAGGTTGCAGTTAGTCTGTCCGCCAGGGCTGTAGTCACCTGAAGGCTTGACTGGGGCCCAGGGGATCCGCTGCCAAGTTCACTGAAGTAACTGTAGACACGAGGCTTCCGTTCTTTGGGACTTGGACCTCTGTGTAGAGCTGCTAATTACTTGCCAGCTGGCTTCCCTCAAAATGAACTGAGAGAGAGACACAGACATCAAGACAGAAGCCATGGTCTTTTCCGACCTCATCTCTGAAGTGAATACTGACTTTTCTGCTCAGTTCTTATGGTCACACAGAGATTGACTAGCGGAATAAATACCAGGAAGTGAGGACTGTTGGAGGCCAACTTGGAGGCTGGCTGCCCCAAACTGTATGGGGTACTCATATCCAGAGGGAATTCAGTCCATAATTACAATTTATTATTGTCTTTGAACTGGGTCTAAATAGATCAAAGGAACAGGCCAAACTATTCCTGTGTTTTCAGTTTTCTTGAGCTATTTTTACTTGTCCTGTTGTAAATCCCCCAAGACAGTGGATCTCAAAGTGTGATTCCTGGGCTTCTCAGGGAGGAGGGCATCTGTGAGACCCTTTCCGGGGTCTGCGGAGTCAGAACTGGTTTTGTTTATTTTAATACCCCTGCCTTGAGTCCTGCCCAGGCTGCAGCAGTGTTACCTAGCATTGCTTTTGGACCATCCGTGCAGATGTCAACGTAGTGAAAGAGCCATTAACAGCAACTACTGAAAATTACCCCAAACCCAACGACTAGTACTACTAGTACTACTATTTCCTCCTCCTCCTCCTGCTCTTCTCCCCTTCCTCCTTCTCAATTTTATTACCTCAAACATAATTTTGAAAGGGTCTTGAATGTATTCAAGAGTATAGACTCTAAATGAATTCTTGACAGGAATATTTAATGAAATTACAGAAGAATCCATGTTAGGTCCAATATTTATTGTTCACTGGGGTGTTAACTTCAGTTACCTACAGGTATTTGGACTAAGAAGTGGAGACAAGGTTTCTAAAGACTGTTTTCAGATGATTTTTTGAAACAAGTAGTTTTAGAACCCTAGGTGAGGGAAATGGAGCGAATCTGGGTAAAGTAGAAACCAGACTGGCTAGTATTCAGGGGTGAATAATTATCACAGCAATAGTTCAGCTTTCTAGTGAGAGAAGAAAGAAATATTTTTCTGTTAACAGCTTTGGAAAGAGTATCACCACAAAATAGAGATAGTTATTTGAAGGGGAAATGGAAAGGAAAAGTGCATTGGGTAAGCTCACAGAAATTCAGGGGTTGGTGGGTTTTGATATATGTTTTTAACCTTACAATTTTTTCATATCTTCACTTGAAAGCCAAGAAAGTGTGCCATAGATTTTTTTTAAAAGGGACTGTGTCTCATTTCCTCTGAGCGCATCTCTCATTGTTCCCTTTCTCTCTGTGTGCTAACTGGCAGACTGAAGACGACTGTTACATGGGAAGTCGGCATTTTTCAGAATAGGTTAAAAACCAGGAATTCCTTCAGTGTCTTTCCTTAGCTCCTTCCTCTTCCTACTTTGTGTTTCTTCCCAGAGCCCATTTTTATTTTTTATTCTTGACTCATGTTGAGCTCAAGGTCTGCATTTCCAGGTCATTGCTCATATTGCCACAGAGATACACAGATGTTTCCTATCTTGCCAGCTACTCGTGGCCCTTAGGAGTTCCCCCAGATGTTCTGCTCTCCATAGTTTAGTTAATGGCATTATCATTCTGTTGGTTTCACACTTGAATTCTTGGATTTATCCTCACTTCTTCTCTTTCCTTCAGCAACAAAAGTCAAATCTTACTGATTCCATCCATTTCTGCAGTCTCTTATATCTTTTCTTATTTTTCCCATTACTCACTTTTATGAGCTAATCATTCCATCTTTCCTAAATCTTTTCTAAATGGTCTTCTTTTTCTCTCACTTCATCTAAAACTGCACTAGACACTTTTGGCACCCATCTCTGAAACTGGGGACAGTGCCACCTCCTAGGGCATTTGGAAATATGTAAGGTCATTCATTGCTCATTGGCTTGACTGGAGAGCAGTGCATGCATTTAGTAGCAAGGACCAGGATGCTGTCTGTCCTGTGGTGAATGGGATGCTCTTACACAAAGAGAATTGACCTGCCTAAAATGACAGGAGCCCCTGTCCGGATCCGCTGCAAGTCTGAAACCTCTCCTCTGCCGAGAAACCTCAGCCTTTCTACACTGCGTGCAGAAGTTTCCACTCCCCTGGACTTTCAGGGCCCCAGTATACTCTTTCAGCCTGAATCTCTGCCGCATCCTCACACAGCTAGGCTCCACCCACATGAGGCTCCTTGTTATGTCTTAAATTTCTTGCGTCAGGGGCGCCTGGGTGGCTCAGAGGGTTAAGCCTCTGACTTTGGCTCAGGTCATGATCTCAGGGTCCTGGGATCGAGCCCTGCATCAGCCTCTCTGCTTAGAGTTCTCTCTCTCTCTCTCTGTGTCAAATAAATAAATAAAATCTTTAAAAAAAAAATTTCCTACATCTTGGCCTTGTTTGGATGCCCCGATTGCCTTCTCCCTTTCCCTCCTATTCCTTTTTCATCCCTGGACTTGTTTGTCCCTTGTTAATGGCCTGAAAATGTTCTATCCTCTAACACCCATCTCAGAGATAAAGCCAAAAGCCACGTTCTTCATAAACTCCTCTCATATTTCCTGCATGGAGATTGAGCTCTTTTCTTCATCTACTTGTACACCCCTAAAACACTCTTCCTTCCTTCCTTGTACTGTTTATTACCATCTATCTGTCCCCATAATTGTCAGAGGGGCTGTATACGAAAGAAGAACTTTTTTTTTTTTTAAGATTTTATTTATTTGACAGAAAGAGACAGCGACAGAGAGCACAAGCGGGGGGACACAAGTGGGAGAGGGAGAAGCAGGCCTCCCACCAAGCAGGGAGCCCGATGTGGGACCAGTCCCAGGACCCTGGGACCGTGACCCAAGCCAAAGGCGGATACCCAATGATTGAGCCACCTGGGCACCCCTGATAGAAGAACTTTAAACTTGAGAAGCAAGTCCCTTGGCTCTTATTTTTTAATTTTTATTTAGCAAATTTTTAAAAAAAGATTTTATTTATTTGACAGAGAGGGAAGGAGCACAAGCGAGCAGAGCTATAAGCAGAGGGAGAAACGGGCTCCCTGCTGAGCAGAGAGGATGATGCGGGGCTTTTTCCCAGGACCCTGGGATCATGACCTGAGCCAAAGACAGAGGCTTAACTGACTGAGCCACCCAGGCACCCCTTTAACAAATTTTTAAAATTTATTTTATTTTTTTATTTTATTTTTTAAATTTTTTAAGATTTTATTTATTTGTGAGAGAGAGAGCGTGCGGCAGCAGGGGCTGGGGGGAGAAGGGGCAGGGGGAGAAGCAGACTCCCCACAGAGCAGGGAGCCCAATGCAGGACTCAATCCCAGGACTCTGGGATCATGACCTGAGCTAAAGGCAGCTGCTTAACTGACTGAGCCACCCAGGTGCCCCCAATTTTCTTTATTTTTAAGTAATCTCTATACCCCAACATAGGGCTCAAAGTCATGATCAAGAGTCATACACCCCCCTGACTGAGCCAGCCAGGCGCCCCTCCTTAGTTCTTCTAACTCACAGTTTTCTCATCTGTAAAGTGAATATAACAAATTCTGTTTATGCCACAGCATTGCTAGGAAATTTAATCAAGGAAATGCTTGTTTTAAACTGCAGAGTGATGGGGTGTTGAAGGTGTCTGCTCCACAGGTGGTTGACTCCTGGAGGATAAGCAGGTTCCAGGTCTTAGACATCCATGCACCTTTCCTGACATTTGGTTCAGAGTTGAAATCTATTGAATTCTGTGAAATTAAGTGTCACAAAGATGGAGCAGTACAGCTTCTTTCCTGTGTAGAAGCCTGGGACAAAAATGAAGCCAGTTTTCCTAGCTATTTGGGGATTGTGCGCATGATTAATCATGAAGTCTTGACTAACAGAGAATGTCCTTTTCAGATTGATGGAGGGATCTCTTAGAGTCCCTAGCCTCATGCTTTTAGTGTTTAGGTTTAGGCTGCACATAGGTTCGGGTCATTTCCTACCCATGCTAGTAGTGCCCGTGCAGTAGCTAGCAGGCCCAGACTGGATAAGTAGCCTTGCTTGTTCCATAGTTACGTAATCACTTATCAAATCTGTCCTAGCTTGTAGACGTGAGACACTTGACAGCAAAGCTCTTTAAGCATGGGATAAATGCCTCAGGACCTTTCCCTGGAAACAAGTGGAAAACAAAAGAGAATTTAACATCTGAATGTGCAAAGGTTGGAGTTCAGTGAAATTTCTTGAGTGACTCCCAGGCATCATGGGAAATACGAAACAACTCGAAGACCTTGCGCTGGAGAGGATTATACTGCAGTAGGCAGTTGTGCTGGGTGCTGAAGAACTGCTTGCTGTGTGTTCATGTGAATATTTGACTTGCCTTTGAGTAGGGATTATTATATATTAACTGGAAATAGATGTCTTGGAATAGTTATTCATGGAGTAATCGAACCATTTTAGAAAATTTGAAGAGATTTAGCAATTAGAATAAACATTTTTAATGTTACTTCTTAGCAGAATATTCATGCTGTACTGTGAACTATAACTTTTGTATTGCACATTCCAGTGGTCTGGATGTTCTAAAAGAAAATGTGCTGTTTGGGTGAAGAATGCTGGTAAAAGGGAAATGACTACTTGAGCGCTGGTATTTGCTTAAATTCTTAATTTTTTCTAAAAGGCCCATTGAACTCGTTGGGTCTCCCCACCCCCACCCATACCAACATGTAGGTGTCTTAAATAAAAATAGACAATAAACAAAAGTTTAGTAGGATGCTTAAATTTTTGAGTGTATTATTGATGGCTATTTTCTCATTCCATTATATCTGAGTTCTAAACATAGCTGCCTGAATTGACTCCCTTCCTCTCCAAGCTTCGTTGATAATTAACTGATAGGCATTGAGAATACAGTGTGTGTGAAACTTGTCGTTTCAGGCCTGCTAGGTTTGCAGAGTTTGGGCTGTGCCTTCCTCTTCCAGAAACCTTTGTTTGCTCAAAGAGAAGCAGGAAAATGCCGATTGCCTTATTTTAGTATGGGATTAAAATACATGTGGCAAGGACCTCATGGGGCCCAGCTGTTGGCTGGGGTTTCAATCCAAATAGAGAAGGAGAAGAACGTGGGCTAGCTCTTTGAAAAAGAAAGGCACTGTGCTCTTTTGCTATATGAAGGAAACGGCTGCCAAGAATTGGTCTTTGAAGAACGGTGAGACGTAAATGAGCCCTTGACTCTCTTAGTTATGGATTTGTCTTATTAAAGATTCTTACAGTGGACACAAATTCAGGTTCAGAAACCATAGGACATTGCTAATTTCTGTTCTGTAAGTATGGGTTACCAGGAGGAAGAGAATGTTCTTTCATGCCTGGCAACAGTTGGTTCAGTTGAAAATTTCTTTCACGTTTGTTGGAGTGGCTCGTTGAAGACAGATAGGAGAAGACCAAGACGCTGAAGCTCAGCTCCATTAGTGGACATGGAAATGTGGCTCTGGCAGTTACGATTCTTGTCTGAGGTCAGCTAAACTCTGTCCTTTGTTATTTGCAGTTCTTAACAATCTGAAGTATGGGCAGTGGACTTCCATAGGATTTTACTTCTTGGTAGTTGGGGGGACGTGACTTCTTTTTTTTTTTTTTTTCTTTTTTCTTTATTTATTTTGAAATTTTACTCATTGAGCACTCTTAATCTGAATTCTTGTGTGCTCTTGCTGGAACGATATTCTTATTTAATGACAACATTGTCAGTTTGCTTAGTGTGCTCAGAAATTACATTTCCATAGCCATTCTCTGGGCCTTCTTTTATTTTATACACACACACACGTATATATATTTTTAAAATTTTTTATTTTTTAAAATCTCTACACCCAGCGTGGGGCCCAAACTCATGACCCTGACATCAAGAGTTGTGTGCTTCTCCGACTGAGTCAGCCAGGTGCCCCTCTCTGGGCCTTATTTTAAAGAGTAATGTGAAGGGTGCCTGGGTGGCTCAGTTGGTTAAGCTTCTGCCTTTGACTCAGGTCATGATCCTGGGGTCCTGGAGCCCCACATTGGGCTCCCTGCTCAGTAGGGAGCCTGCTTCTCCCTCTCCCTCTACCCCCTGGTTGTTCACATGCTTTCTCTCTCTGTCAAATGAATAAATACAACCTTTAAAGAAAAAAAAAAGAGTAATATGATATTAACCAATCTGAAACAAGAGGCTGGTTATATAAAGATGGCACCTGGCAAAGAGTTGCAGAACATGTGAAATAATTGATCTTTGAACTATATGGGTTATAATTACAGTGTTAGAGGGGCTTCAGAGTTACACATCAGCTATGCATTTATTGTTTTCTCTCTAGGTGCATGCTATTACGATGCTAACCAGTCTATGTATGTGTTCGGAGGCTGTACCCAGAGCAGCTGCAATGCGGCCTTCAATGACCTCTGGAGACTTGACCTAAATAGCAAAGAGTGGATCCGACCTTTGGCTTCAGGTAAGAAAGAAAATGCGGATCTTTGTCCTCTTACCAGGTAACTCCCTGTGCATGGTAATTCTTTCTGGCTGTTTTGGTGTTGGTCTCTGGTGCTGGGGCCCCAGGTCCTTTGTCAGATCTGCTGTGTAAATGCCAAAAGTTATGTGTTTGTATAAGGTCTTTGAAATAAAAATTTTTAAAAAAGCTTTATCCTGAGTACTGGTGCGCTGCCAGGATTGCTGGGCTACTGTGTGAATTCATTTGTGTGGTTTTCTCAAGTGCTTGCACTGGTGTGATACGCTTTTTGGTATGAAGTTGAAGTAAGAGCAGACGCACAGCATCGTGAGAACTATAGCTGACTGACAGAAGCTGTTGTCCCAGGGCTGCAAGCTCTGAATGAGTATCTTTTGTTGTCGCCAGCTCAGATATTTGGGGAGTGTATGGAACATGCCTCTGCTGGTTTCTCTCAACAACCCAGGAGTGTGGGAAGATTCTTGAGTAGGTACATTCCTGCACAGCCCCACTGTGCCACAGTTCCAGCAAAAAGCAACTGGTTTTTTTCTTTTTGACCTCACCTTTCTTGAGGCGGGTGGGGGATTTGTTTTTGCACACTTGAGGCAGGACAGTTTGAAAAGACATAGCCACAAGATTGAAGGAGCTGGGGTGATGGAGAAATCGAGTCCACAAAGCATCAGGCGCGCTACGAGATTCATCGGCAAGCTTTCCCCAGACACTCATTTGGCTTTTCAAGGTCGGAATTCACTCTAGGACTAAAGAGACTGAGGTTTTCCTTGAGCAGATTCTTATTTAGGTCTTGATTTACTGCTTTGATTATTAGATGGGAAGTGACTTGGTGTAGTAAAAAGTGCCCTGAGCTAAGAGTGAAGAGACCTGAGTTTCATTTCCTGGCAAAACAGCCAGTTCACCATGTATCTGTGTACGGGCGACTGCATCTCTCTGGGATGAATGCGGATTAGGACTAGACGATTCTGTTTTATAGAGGGTTGGGAAGGCTGGTGTATGCTTCCCTTTTTTTCTGTGATGACTGCTATGAATGTCTAGGCCAGGGACTTAAAACCTTTTTGAGATGAGGCTACATTTTGCTCCCCCAAAGCTGTAAGCTCCTGTTCCTTCCCCTGCAGTAGGCAAACATAGGAGGCAGGCGCCTACTGACGGCAGGTGTTCATTCACGAGTGGGGCTGGCGTGTGTGTAGGTGAAATTCTCTATTAAAATCATTAGAAAGATGACTAGGTGTTAATCTTTTAAAAATTTTGAAAGTTTGTACTATTTTAGGGCCCTCAGAATTGTGTGAGGGTTTCCTTTTCTAGCCCTCTGTCCCCTGTTGCACTTCGTGCAATATTAATATTTGGAATCACAGATTCAGAAATGTGGCAGATCTCTTCAGCTCAAGCATCCTGTTGCCACTGTACTTGGTGTCTAGGTCCCATTTCAGAGCAGCTTTGATTATTCTAATCACAAAATACCAATATCATCTTTCTCTGTCTTGTAACCAAGCTTTATACCTCTGATAATTTGATATGGAGCTCTGGACTGTGGGACCTTCATAGCCTATTGCTAACTGCTGTGCTTAGTTTCCCTTATTTCTCCCTGTAAGGTAGACATGGGACTTTTTATTAAAACCACTAAGGCTATGTTTTGAAATCCCCAAGGTAGAAGTATTAGAGAAATAACTGACTTTAAAAATACAATGTTAGGGGCGCCTGGGTGGCTCTGTTGGTTGAGCATCCGGCTCCTGGTTTTGGCTCAGGTCATGATCTCAGGGTCGTGAGATTGAGCCCCGTATTGGGCTCCATGCTCAGTGGGGGGAGTCTGCTTGAGATTCTGTCTCCTCCATCCCCTCTCCCCCACTCTTGTGCATGTGCTCTCTCTCAAATAAAAATCTTTCAAAAAAATAAAAATACAATGTTCTACTCTTTCCTTTTATAAAACATAGAAACTCCTGAAGGTTTGATTTTCTAACAAAGTGTCTCAAAGAATCTGCTAGCCACTTCACTCTAATCTACAATTAAAGCCTACTTTTAAAGAGGGAAAAACAGCTATTTGAAATGTCTACTTTTTAAACAAACAGATAAGCAATAGTTTTTAAAGAATCCTGTGAGATTTTCCTTCAGGCAGAAATCCCATGGGAAGATTGCCTGAGGAAATGTTTCTGCCTGCTGTCATGAGTTCCAACCAAATTACTTCCTAACTGAAACATCAGTGAGTCTTTCTGAACAAAACACAGTTGTTGATATATGCCTTGGTGTGCCTGACTCACCCATTTTAGTGCATGGGGGTGGGTAGGTTGGAAGGTGGCTAAAGGGAGGGTGCCTGCCACCCTTTGGTGTCAGCTGTGAAGTCTTCTCACGTGTGAGCATTTCTAAGCAGTGAGTATTCAAAGCACTAGCCTGAACAGGGTTCAGTCTCTGCGAGTGTAGTGGTGCGGAGAAGAGCATCCCATGAACAGGAGGGGGCAGTCTCATTTCGGAGCAGAGTCTTTCTGGAGAGTGCTCCTGCATCAGGCGTCTTTTTCCTTGTTCATTTGTTGATCCTGCAGATGAGACTGGGGCCTTCTCATTTTTGGTGATGTGAGCGGTAGCCCGCTCGGGCTGCCCTAGCAACATACCATAGACTAGGGGCATAAACAACACAACTTTATCTCTCATAGTTCTAGAGGCTGGGAGTCCAAGGTCAGGGTGCTGGTTGAGGGCCATCCTCCTGGCTTTCAGACTGCCTTCTTGCTCTGTCCTCACCTGGCAGAGATAGTGTTCTGGTGCCTCATCCTCTTTATAAGAGCATTAGTCCCATTATAAAGGCCTCAACCTTATAACTTCATTAAACCTGGTTATTTCCCAAGGGTGGTTTTTTTTAATTTTTATTTATTTATTTGAGAGAGAGAGAGACAGTGAGAGAGAGAGTATGAGTGAGAAGGTCAGAGGGAGAAGCAGACTCCCTATGGAGCTGGGAGCCCGATGTGGGACTCGATCCCGGGAATCCAGGATCATGACCTGAGCTGAAGGCAGTCGCTTAACCAACTGAGCCACCCAGGCGCCCTTTCCCAAAGGTTCTATCTCCAAAGGCCACTACACTGGTGTTAGGGCTTCAACATACGAATTTTGACAGGATACAATTCAGGCCGTAGCCATTAGAATTAATGTGACTTGCCCCTGAGTCCTTATTGTTAGTTCCTTTTGAAATGATAGAAGTCCTCCATCTGGAGGGAGTGTGGTAGTAACGGGTGTTAGAATGATAACTCACACTGCTGAGAGACTTCGGGAGGCCTGGCTGGCTCAGTTGGTAGAACATGTGACTCTTGATCCCAGGGTCATGAGTTCTAGCCCAACATTGGGTGTGGAGCCTACTGAAAAACGAAACAAGCAGGGCGGCCTAGTTGGTTAAGCATCTGCCTTTGGCTCAGGCCCAGGGTCCTGGGATCAAGCCCCGTGTCAGGCTCCCTGGCCAGTGGGGAACTGCTTTTCCCTCTCCTCCCTGCTTTCTCTCTCTCTCAAATAAATAAATAAAATCTTAAAAAAAAAAAAAAAAAAAAGGAAGGAAGGAAGAAAGAAAGAGCTGAGCGAGACCTACCTACAGCCAGTACTTCTCAGACATTTCCAGTGAAGTACCTCCTTCTCCCTTTACAGCTGTTGCTGCAGCCCCTCCTCTCATGAAGCTTATATTGTATTGGGGGAGAAACGAAAATAAATAGAAAGTATGAAGAGAGCAGGGAATGAGATAGAATAAGAGGGGAAGAGCTACTTTAAACAGGAGGCAACATTCTTTGCTGATTTGAAGGATAAAGAGTGGAGCGAGTGAGACCAGCATGTGCAAAGACCCCGGGACAGCAAAGAATGGAATGTATTGGAGGACCTGAAAGCAGACCTCTGTGGATGTAGCATGATGAGCAAGGAGTAGAGTGGTGGAGCTGGAGTTGAGATCTAGACAGGAGCCAATTCATTCATACCCCAAGGTCTGGAAGATTTTGAAATTTTAAGCAGAGGAATATTATGGATCCAATTTATATTTTACAGAACACTTTTGCTGCTGTTTAGGAAATAGATTGAAGCCATGAGAACAAAACAGAGACCAGCCAGGAGGCCATCACAGTGGTATGAGTGAGAGGAGGTGATGACTTGGACTAGAGTCCTAGTAGTAGAGAAAAAGGGTAACGGATGAATTTGAGCTAAAATTTTATGATAGAATCGATAGGACTTCTTGATGGTTTGACTGTCGGAGAGGGGAGTAGTCAAGGCTGATTTAGGTTTCAGGTTTGGCAGCTAGGTAGACAGTGGGCCTGTTTGCTAAAATGGAAAATAAATGTTTGGAAGAGGGGTGCCTGGGTGGCGCAGCGGGTTGGGCCTCTGCCTTTGGCTCAGGTCATGGTCTTAGGGTCCTGGGATCAAGCCCTGCTTCAGGCTCTGCTCATCAGGGAGCCTGCTTCTCCCTCTCCCTCTGCCTGCCTCTCTGTCTACTTGTTATCTCTATCTCCCTCTGTCAAATAAATAAATAAAGTCTTTAAAAATAAAAATAAATGTTTGGAAGAAGTTTAAGTTTTTATTTCTTTATACTTTTAAGTGGTGGTATCCCATAATTAGTTGTTGTGAGATTTTGACATTTAAAATAGAAGGGCTGCCTTCCCTTAAATGATGCCATAGCCCTTCCTTTTGTTTGGTTAATTCTACTCTCATCATTCATTTGCTCTGGCAGCAAATATTTAAGAATTTCCTACCTTGTGTCTGGTATTATTTCAGATGAATAAAACAGGAATGAATAAAACAGACAAAAATCCAACTCTTAATGGAGATCAAATCCAAATGAGAGAAGACAGATATTTAAAAGGACAAATAGGGCCGCCTGGGTGGCTCAGTGGGTTAAAGCCTCTGCCTTCGGCTCTGGTCATGATCCCAGGGTCCTGGGATTGAGCCTCACATTGGGCTCTCTGCTCAGCCTGCTTCCCCCGCTCCCCCCCCAGCCCCCGCCGCCTGCCTCTCTGCCTACTTGTGATCTCTGTCTGCCCAAAAAA